ACACACACACACACACGCACGCGCGCGCGCGCGCGCGCACACACACACACACACACACACACACTGGGTGCATTTGTTGCTGCTTGGGTGGGATGGAACAGCAGGGAGATCTAAGGGAAAGGAGAGCAGTTGTGTTTTGGTTCAGATGTCAGGTTTTTGAGGGTGTGGCAGCTTGCACTGACAGCAGCACTCAGAGGCAGGAGTGTATGTTTCTGAAAAACTATTCTGAATTTTTTTATCGTTATGAACCTGTTATAGATAGCTCTTTGAAAGCTCAAAGCTCAGAAGAACAAAGTTAACTTTAGTCTGCACCAGAAGTGCTATACTGCTGCTACCACTACTCGCGCCTGCAGATAACCATAAAATTCAGCGTAAATAGCTGTAAAATTGGCTTATAAAAGAGCGTTTGTTTTGACAGCTATGACGTTTATAGGGTTAGAGTTGTTTTAAGAGAACAGCCATCCACTTTGGTAACTTTGCCTTAACTTGTAGCCAAAACTCAGAGTAAAGACCAGGTTTAATGTGGCTCAGTGGATGGTTGGGTCTTAAGAAAACTTACTGTTACTTCCCATGCATATAACCAGAAAACACAAGTCCTACATTCAGACGCACTCGTTGACCTCATGCAGCAGTTGTATTTGTGTTGTTGGACTTGTCTATATGCTGCTTTGGTCAGCTGGTGTTTTAGGTGAGTTTTCCCAAAGTGAACTTGTTTGCTAACCGTATCAGACAAGCTGTCAGACCGGCTTATCTCAGTAACAACAACATGTCTGACCAGATAAGCCCGCATGACTGACTCCTCACTGTTTACACTCTTTCTATTAGACGCATATCTGCATTTTAATGATTCAAGGTTTAGCACTCCTTAAAAGAATGCATATCATCCGACACCTATCATGCTCGAGTTTTAACTAATCTAAAATAATCTGTTCAAGCTTTGTCAATGATCTTATTCATATTATGAGGATGAATATCAGGCACTACCGCTCAAAATTTAGTTTTACATCTGTAAATCTGCGTTAGAGACAGGCTTAGATTGGTGTATGTGTTGGGCATTACCCTCAGCTATTACCAACCAAATTTTACCTTTGTATCTGTAGAATTAGTTGAGTTAAGCCCATTTCTATTCCCTAAAATACAGTTAAAAAGTCACTTGCCCCAAATATAATCCGTTATGTTCATATGTTTTGTCTGAGGCTGTGTGTTGGGGGTGTTTCAGCTGCTAAAACATCAAAGTTTAGCTCAATATTTCTAAATCATTAAGGATATCTTAGGATTAATTTCTGAAAGTTTCATTCAACTATCTTTGACAACAGGCAATGACAAAATTGCAGTAAAAGCCTGAGCTTTGGGTTTGAATCCTCATGTGTCTAATAAATAAAGGCTCTTAACTTCACATATTAGGTTCCAGTTGTTGGATAAATTCTGCTAAATGAGCGAGTGTGTGACCAAGTACTCTAGTGTCTGTTACATGTGTGTGATTACATCTCACATCCATCACAATGACGCTCCAGTGATCTATTGTAGATGTAAATGTTGCTCCACCTCATCAGGGATGGAGAATGGGCAACATGTGAACCGATCCGTCACGATGCTTTACATTTTCATCGCTCCGCACATGTGCAGCGTGGCCTCGCTTTTTCCTACCATCCTCACCTCAGTCACAGTTTCTCTTTTTTTTCCTCCTCTGCAAGACAAAAAATGTTTTTTTAAGCATCTGCAGCCCCCACCTCTTCCCTGCGCCCCAACAACCACTTTAACTGTTAGCAAGGACAAATCTGAACTTGTTCGTCTGCCTCATCTTCTGCCAGGATTAGAGCCCCACTTCCCTCTTCTCCCTTAAGCGGTGATTACGTCCAACAACTCATGCTGTCCAATCAAAGGCCTGTAATGAGCCTATTATTCTGTTAACATGTGGGTTAGCTGCTGAATCAATGCTAATGACAGTAAATACTAGTTTTACACAACCTTTTATGTACTTAGAAAGCATTAATTGCCTCTGTAATTGAAAACACTCCTTTTTATTTAAATTAAAACTTTTTATTTTTAACTTTCATGACAAACATCAAGGGATGAAGGTTGAAACCAAATGTTGAATACACAGTTGTCAGGATTGGCACTAATCCAGTTACAGTCTGGATGCTGGCTGTGAATCAATAAAGATTAGAGAACTGTTGGTCTGTAGGTGTAAAGCCAATGTGAGGCTAATTCATAACAAAGCTCTGACCCTTTGGAGATACTCGACACTAAAATAACAAGTTGGAGTAATGACACTGATGTGAAACTGCAGGTTTACTTTTGGGAATCTGAATTTTATCCTCAGTCTTTAAAACCTTATAACACAGACACTGAAGGAGGCTAAGAAATCAGTTTATGGCACACATCTTTAATACAGTAGTTAGTTACAGTGGTGTCAAAAAATATAAGATATACATCAGTTTGAAACAGTTTGAAGGCTTTATTTTGTCCCATTTTAAAACAACAGCAACATCAAAAACCCATCCATCACACCTCACAGTGTGTCCTGTTCCAAAATAACATTTGCCACCTGCCCCCAAAACCCTCCCCGTCTCTTCTCCACAAACTATATAATTAGGCTGCAACACCTTTTCTCCTCTTTCACCTCCCTTCCTTCCTCCCTCCTGCAGCCCAAACTTCACAAACATCCTCAGGCTTTAAAAAAGACAAAACAAAACAAAAATTGTAATCCCTGCTCACTCGTTCTGAACAAGTGCTTTAAAAAAAACAGAAGTGGTATGAAAATAATGTCTAGCTGTATATTTCATCCAGTGTAAAATATATTTTTAAACATCATCAGTTCACAATTCATAACTCTTTTACGATAGAAACAAAATGTCCCACGAAGAGGAAAAAAAAAGACAAAAAATATAGACTTTCCCTCTTTTTTTTTTTTTGAGAATTTGAAGACCAAAGCAGCTAAAGAGCTCAGCCAGCTGGCTCCAGCTTCCCGAGTCCCCTCAACAAACAGAGTATCGACGTCTCGCTGCAGAACAGGAGCGACACGCCGACAGTAGTGACAGTTCAACGTTAATCGTCTCATCTGACCAGCTCTACACGGCTGACACATAAAGTCTGTTTTCTGAACAAGTGTTCCAGCGGTTAGAGCTGGGACTGCCCTGCAGCCGCATTTCTCCTTTAGCCACCTAAACCTTGGTGGCCAGAGACTGCACCTCTGACTTCTGAGTCTGGGCGCTGAGAGTGGACGACATGGAGCTCATGTGACCGTGCATGGCCTTCTTCAGGTTGAGCAGGCACAAGCACTGGGAGCGGAAGCGCAGGTCGAAGAAGGCGTACAGGAATGGGTTGAGGCAGCTGTTGATGTAGGCTAAGCAGGTGGCGTACGGGTGAGCCAGCAGCAGGAAGCGCAGGAAGCCGCAGGAGCTCGGTGCCAGGTTCAGGTAGGAGAGGGCGTCCATGCTCTTCAGCACATGGAAGGGGGTCCAGCAGATAGCAAACACCACCACCAGCGTGGTGATGATCTTCAGCAGGCGCTTCTTTTTCTGGTCCTCCTTGCGCAGGTTGTTGAAGTGGCGGGTGACGGTGCAGCCGATGAAGCAGTAGAAGATGGTCATTGCCAGGAAAGGTAGGAGGAAGCCCAAGGCGGAGGAGGATAGGCTGAGTCCTGCGATCCACAGGGACTCGTGCCTCTGGTTCATGGTCACCAGGCTGAAGTCCATGGCACAGCTGGTCCGGTTGCTGTTTTGCTCGTTCATCGTGGTGCGGAAGAGCAGCGTGGGCACAGCCAGGAGGCAGGACAGGAGCCAAATGGCACCCAGGGATGCCAGCATGGTGCCTCGCGATCGCAGCCTCGTGCTGGACAGGGAGTGCACGATGGCCAGGTAGCGGTCAAAACTCAGACAGGTGAGGCAGAAAACACTGGCGTACATGTTGACCAGAACCACGTAGCTGCTGATCTTGCACAGAGCCACACCGAATGGCCAGTGGTAGCCCAGGGCCGTGTACACAGCCCAGAGAGGTAGGGTCACAACAAAGGTGAGGTCAGCCAGGGCCAGGTTCCCAATGTAGACATCAGCAGCTCGACGCTTGGATTTGGATCGCCACACCGTGAAGATGACCACACCGTTACCTGACAGGCCCAGGATGAAGATGAGCATGTAGAGCACCGGGATGAGGGAGTAAGAAGGTTCCCACTCTGAGAAGTCACAGGCAGTTTCATTATCTTCATAATAGTCATAAGTGTCAGGATATTCCCCAGTGGGCTCCATGATGCAACGCCCAAAACAATACCAGCAACAACAAAAAACTGTCCTTCACAGAGGTAAGAGTCCAGCACGGTCTCCAGGAGTGAACCAGAGCAAAACTAAAACCACTGAATGAGAGGAGCGAGGAGTTCTGCTGCTGCTGCTGGACAAAAAAGAGTGAGAGACTGCTGCTGCGCTCTGCCTTTTTAAACTCGGCCCTCTGCACCCCTGGTTCCCTCCCAGGACAACCCCCCACCCTCTCCTCCCCCCACAGTAAAACATCTATCAGCTCTCCTCCTCCCCTCTCTCACTTCTCCTGCGTGGCCCAACCTTCTGCCTGCAGGACCAGGAGCTTGCACATGTAGGCTGACCAATCTGTGCAATTCATTTTACTCAACTTTAATACAGAAGTCAAATTATAAGGTTGCCTAATTAATAAAATTGTCAAAAAAATAAACAAATAAATAAACAAAGATTTTTTTCTTATAACTAACACCCCAAGTTTCAAACTTTTAACAGCTGGTCAACTTTAATAATTCCACAGAAATGAAAACCAGACCCATCAGCTTTTAGCTTAAATATTAAAACACATGGACATTTAAAACCATTTACATTATTTTCTAAGAATGATCAAAAATGACAACACATTACCCATTCAATACAGGACTCCTGCAAACCCTTATCTACACCAACAGATTTTCAATGAACACGTCGCACGTTTTCAGATTTTAAGCTATTGTTTTGGTGCATTGTAGCAAAAATATATATATTGTGCAAAACTGTGGCCATAAAAATATAGTTATACCTTGTAAAACACAGTAAAACCCATTAAAATGTACAGTTTTTTGTATAGCATCAATTTGTTGCAGTGATAATAAGTTTAAAGGGAGGAATTTCTTCAATTGCCACTTCTATTATAAAACCAAATATTTTTTATTGAGTAAAAGTGGTCAAGTAAGAAAACTAAATACTTTACGGTAAAAATAAATAGTAATAATATACAGCGGGTAAAATAAGTATTGAACACGTCACCATTTTTCTCAGTAAATATATTACTAGAGGTGCTAATGACATGAAATTTTCAYCAGATGTYGGTAACAACYCAAGTGATCCWTACATACAAAGAAATCAAACCATAAATGTCCAGAAATGAAGTTATTTGTAATAATGTGGAATGACACAAGGAAAAAGTATTGAACACACTTACTGAAATTTATCTAATACTTTGTACAAAAGCCTTTGTTGTCAATGACAGCTTCAAGGCGCCTCCTGTATGGAGAAACTAGTGGCATGCATTGCTCAGGTGTGATTTTGGCCCATTCTTCCACAAACAGTCTTCAAATCTTGAAGGTTTCGTGGACCTCTTCTATGAACTCTGATCTTTAGTTCTTTCCATAGATTTTCTGTTGGATTCAGGTCAGGTGATTGGCTGGGCCATTCCAGCAGCTTTAGTTTCTTTCTCTGAAACCAACTGAGAGTTTCCTTGGCTTTGTGTTTGGGCTCATTGTCTTGCTGAAATGTCCAGCCACGTTTCATCTTCATCATCCTGGTAGATGGAAGCAGATTTTTATCAAGAATGTCTGTACATTTTTCCACTCATTCTTCCTTCAATTATTTGAAGTTTGCCAGTACCATATGCTGAAAAACAGCCCCACACCATGATGTTCCCACCTCCAAACTTCACTGTTGGTATGGTGTTTTTGGGCTGATGTGCAGTGCCATTTGACCTCCAAACATGATGTGTATTCTGGCATCCAAACAGTTCAGTTTTGGTCTCATCTGACCAGACTATATTCTCCCAGTATTTCACAGGCTTGTTTAAATGTTGTGCAGCAAACTTTAAAGGAGCTTCAACATGCTGTTTCTTCAGCAGTGGAGTCTTGCGTGGTGAGCGTGCATACAGGCCATGGTGGTTCAGTGCATTACTTATTGTTTTCTTTGAAACAATCGTACCTGCTAATTCCAGGTCTTTCTGAAGCTCTCCACAAGTGGTCCTTGGCTCTTGGACAACTCTTCTGATAACTCTTTTCACTCCTCTGTCAGAAATCTTGTGAGGAGCACCTGGTCGTGGTCGGTTTATGGTGAAATAATGTTCTTTCCACTTCTGAATTATGGCCCCAACAGTGCTCACTGGAACCTTCAGAAGTTTAGACATTCTTCTGTAACCGATGCCATCATTATGCTTTGCAACAATAAGGTTGTGAAGGTCTTGAGAGAGCTCTTTACTTTTACCCATCATCAGATGGTTCTTGTGTGATACCTGGCCATCATTTGGGACTGAACCAGCTGATATTAACTTGCACTGACAAGGGGCAGGCTTGCTTTCTAATTACTGAGAGAGTTCAGCTGGTGTCTTGGCTTTCCATGCCTTTTTACACCTCCCTTTCTTCATGTGTTCAATACTTTTTCCCTGTGCCATTCCACATTATTACAAATAACTTCATTTCTGGACATTTATGGTTTGATTTCTTTGTATGTATGGATCACTTGGGTTGTTACCGACATCTGGTGAAAATTTCATGTCATTAGCACCTCTAGTAATATATTTACTGAGAAAAACGGTGACTTGTTCAAAACTTATTTTACCCACTGTAACTTTTAGTCAGTTAATGGTGATTAAAGTACACATGTTATGAGCATAGATGAGTAAGACACTTTTTCCCCCTGTAAAATTGTCATCATTTTAACATTTTATTTACAATTTAATTTTATTAAAAAGTGTTGCTCTGAACATTTCCACATCCTTGTTTTCCATCACAATCATGGATATTAAAAGGCTGAAAAAGGGCAACGTTTCACCACATTTTCTTATTTTTTTCATTTTATCTTATTTTTTTTTTTTACCACAACTGCTTTCTCTTCTCGTCTCTACTTTTACTTAAAACATCAAAAATTCGATGTGCATCCTTTAGATAAGAGTTAATTAGATATGGTATTTTTTGTAAAGATTAGATTAAATATCATTAACAACAACACAACACACGGTAGGTGTGTGAATCTAATTCTCAAGTCTGCAGATTAATTTGCACATTAAAAGGACAGGCAAACACAAAGATCTGAAACAAAAACAAGAGGAAACCTCACATCCACCCCGCCTTCATTTCTACTTTTCACTAAACCTGTTGGTCAACAAGAACCTGACGTGGTGCAACAAAAATGCAGCAATAAATAACAATAACTACATGGAAAAGAAGCATTTAAAAATCATCAAAATAAGTGCATTTCAATATATTGCGTTAAACAGCAGTCTGCCTCCTAACATATCGTAAGGAATGAGTTTCAGTAAAACAAGTCTGAGCAGAGCTGTGTATTATTCACAGCTCATTTAGGCTGGATAATCTGTGTAAAACAAGCCTCCAAGTGATGATAACAAGAAGCTATTACATAAATTGTAAAAAGAGGATTATTATCCCGTAAACACGCCGTTTGGAGAAATGTGTTCGATGAAAGATTGAGCTTCTCTGGGTTATCAGTGTGCAGCGAGTGACTGGTGATACATGGAGCGTTCAGAGCTGGAGTTTAACTTGGCAAACTTCTTTGTTTTCTTTATTTCAGTCACCGTGGAGGCACCGAAGCCTTTCCCCGCTCCAAACATGTTCGTCTGCTCTGAGATATACTCAACATCTTTATTGTGCTATCAGAAACCTAATTATTTAAAGTAAAAGTGGCAGACAAGATATACAATAGATAAGAGATAGAGTAAAATGTTTCACGTGTTTTATGACTCTTCTGCTTTCACACACACACACACACACACACACACACACACACACACACACACACACACAC